TGAAACCAGAACCAAATCTGACCCTAACCCTGTGCAAAAAACTAACCAATCCCTGAGCAGGAGATCTAGCCACCCTAAGCTCAGGGATTGAAATCTAACCAATCCCCACCCTGGAAAAACTCTGCCCCCTAAGAAGCACTATATAAACCCTGTGGCTGTTCAGGCTGCCAGGGTGGCAGAGGACAGCCACTCTCCTAGATTCTTCCCTCCTAATAAATCTCTTCAATGAGGTTTGGCTGAGACCTTCTTTCACCAGAGCAGAGACAACCCACTGCTGGGGTAAACCTTCCCCTGGCTAACTGAAGTTGTTACACTCTCTGGGGGACTAGACAGGAAATGTAACAACTTTGCAGTGAAGCCCTCTTTTGCAGGAGCCTAGCTGATACACTGGGGAAGCCTCTCCCTGAAAGCAGGACTGTACGCTGCTATGCCCTTCTGTGACCTGTGGTATTCCTTGGCTCCCGAGTGCCAGAATACCTTTCCATCTGAGCTGTAACACTCAGTATTCTTTGGCTCCCAAGTGCCCGAATCCATCCCATCAGATCCATTGAAATGCTTACAGAAACCCTGTCTCAAAACCACCGCCCCCCAAAAAAAGAATGTTAAGCTTGTATCATATTTGGCAAATGCTTGAACATGATAATGGGTAGGACTTGATCAGCTGAAATGGTGATTAGGTAGAATAAATCAAACATATTTCCAAAGTATCTTTGTTTAATTAGTGGAATATTCTTTATCTGATATAAGGAACTCAATTCTGCATTAAGCTGGAGATCCTAGGCATTAAATACACAAAGATGAGAAACAAAATGCCTCCAAGAGCCTCACTACCTAAGAAACTATCAACTTCAGTTACCAAACTACCAATAGTAAGAAGTAATAGTGACAATCAGAAAAAAAAGACCCAAGAATAGGAAAATTTTTACTTTGCTTAATGTTTTAATAGGATATGTACTATTTGCTCATATGTTGTTTACTATCAAGACAGGAATTCCAGTAAGCAGCTAAAAGTATAGTTCTATGATTTAGAAGAGAAGTATGGACAACTTGTCTTACTTTGCTTTTGTGCTGTGATAAACAGTGATCCTTGTAGAAGGAAGAGTTTATTTTAGCTTACAGGTAATAGACCATCATCAAGAAAGTAAAGATAGGAACTCAAAGCAGGAACTAAAGCAGAAACAATAAAAGAACACTTTTAATAGCTTGCTCCCCCAGGCTTATTCAGCTACCTTTCCTACTTAATGCTCGCCTGTCTAGGGATGGCACCACCCAGAGTGAGCTGGACGCTCCTGCATCAACTAGCAATTAAGAAAATGCACCAACCCGTGCATGGCCTTATTGGAGTCTAGGGGCCAAGCTGCAGCCAGGGCCATGCAGATCTGGGTGGCCTGCACTGCTACTCAATGCCACGACAGCATCCAGGCCAGTGGCCCTACTGTGGTCAGGGTCTTTACTGATGCCCGAGGCCCCTGCTGCCATCAAAGGAGTTGCAGACGCCCCACATCTGGGTCCATGTTAGTGTCCGAGGGTCACGAGGCCACTGGGGACAATGTCCACATGAGTGGCCTGCACTACCAGCTGGGACAACAGTAACATCCAGATCCGGCTGCTGCTAAGGACCATGTCTGGGCCCATGGTCCAGTTGCAGAGGGGGGTCTGTGTTGATGTCTGTGGTCTTGCCACCACAGGGAGCCATAAAAAACCATGCATGATAAAATGAGAGAGCCGTGCTGAGCCAGCCACGCCCCTTGCTGGCCCTACCTCTCTTTGGACCCTGCAGAAGGAAGCTGCCACCCCTCACCTCCTCAACCCCTGGCCCCACACTTGGGAGAGCCAGCCCACCCTCCCTCACCACAGACGACGGAGAACTGACCCTGACGGCATGGACACAAAGGGGCAGGCTCTGCCCCTCACCTGAGAAGGGTGACCCCGTGGCCTGGACTGACCAGCTTGGCTATCATCCAGGCCCACAGCCCAGCCCTGGGTGGACCCACCCTAGCATCTACCCCATCTAGGACGTGCTGCAGCCTGTGAAGGGACTGGTGCTGTGGAACGATACCCACAGGGTTTCCACAGGTCATCGCAAAGGAGTCAGTGAGGACCCAGGGATGATGCTGCACCAGAAACCGGAGGCCTCGACCCAGACCAGTGACTCTGCAATGAGCATTCGCCAGTAAAGCTGACTGGACCAATGAAGACGTGTGGGAGAGGCAGGAAAGATGCAGAAGCAAAGAGAGTTTTGTCTTGTTTGGCTTGGCTTTTGTTTGTATTTGTTTGCTTGCTTTGTTTTGAATTTTCTTGGGTAGGGTGACACAGGAGTGAGGGGAGGATACGGGGGACTGGGAGGTGAGCAGCACGATGCTAAATTCTCAAAGAATCAATAAATAATGTTTAGAAAGAAAGAAATGCCCACAGGCCTATCAAATGGAGGCAATTCCTCAATTGAGATCCTCACTTCCCAGCTTACTCTAGTTCCTGTCAAACTGACCAAAACAGAGATTAGATGATTTAGAATCGAGACCAGCCTGGACTACCAAGCGAGTTCCAGGACAGCCTCCAAAGCCACAGAGAAACCCTGTCTCAAAAAACCAAAAAAAAAAAAAAAACCACAGAAACAGACAACATAGGGTTTAGAACCCAGGAAGACACCAAAACCTGAGTTGCATGAAGAAAATACTAAAGACTTCTTGGGGGAAGAGGGGCCAGAAAGAAAGACTAAATAAAAAGAAATAATGGTTTAAAGGAAGTGTTCAACTGTAACTATAATCTCCCAAAGATGACACAATAAAAGATGATTATGGGCCAGGTGGGGAGTGGGGGGGGGTGGTAGCAGCGGTGCACGCCTTGAATCTCAGCACTGGGGAAGTTCGAGGCAAGTGCATCTCTGTGAGTTCGAGGCCAGCCTGGTCTACAAAGTTCTTGGACAGAGGACTGTTACACTGAGAAACCCTATCTTGAATTAAAAAAAAAAAATATATATATATATATATATATATATATATGAACTTTGCTATTAGATTACTTGATGATTGGTATTCTGGAAGAAAAATCACATAATTTTTCTCTTTTACCTTCTTATCAGAGGCAAATCAGAAACTACTCACAAATTTTCCAACTATGCATCTGTTCACCAAGCTTATTAATCCTATCCTCAGGCAAATCCTCAACACAGAGAACACAGTGAATCAGTTACTCAACAAAATACTCAATCTTTCAGGTATATTTGGGGAAGTAGAGAAGAGCGCCTACAGATTTATGAGGGAAAAAAACCCTATACCATATTAGGAGAATTATTTCAAGAAAGGAGCCAACCCTTTACCAAAAGTTCTGATTTTTCCCCCGGGAACCACTGAGGGTCCTAATGTCATATATACAGTTGAAGTGCTTGGGCTTACACAGAAGAGACTGCAGAGCACAAAGGGAGGGCTGTCCACAAGAGAAAGTGGAGACTTACACTGCTGCGTTTGACACTGAGGAGGGAAAAATGCAATTACAAAATAAGGCTCACATCTGACAAATGCCAGGGGTTTGAAAGGAGAGAATCTGAAGAGTAAATATAGATTTAATAATCACTCTGGAGAATGACAAACAGAATGTAGGAAAATACAGGATGCATATTAACTATTCACTACCCAAAAGCTAATTACAATCCCTGCAACGAGTCCTAGTGAAACAAATGCTCATTGTTTAGAATGTGTTATCAAGGGATATAAACTGGGGCGCTTCCACTAAAAACTACACCTGGACAGCACTGTCTACACTCTAACCCTTTGCTATCACCCTCTGTATTGCTGTTTGGCAGTGTACACAATCACACTGTACTCCTCCAACACTATTACAGCAGCTGTCTTTATAGCTCTACATGGTAAAGTATTTGAGAGGGGAAACTTTATATATACTCCAGGAGTTCAAAGCTTAGTTCAATTTGAATTTCAATTAAGACACAAAGATGACGTGGAACAGGCAAAAACTCTAAAGGACCCACAACAAAGTAGTTCAGAAAACATCACTAGTTTTGACAATGTATCCCGAAAAGACAATTAAGGCAATACAAAACATTCAATAGTCAGAGGAAACACAGTAATTTAAAACTTTATTTTGCTCCTTTATAAGCCACGCTTAGAGTGATGTCCAATTAAAAGAAAATCTGAACCAACTGTATGCAACTCTGTGGGATAACAAAAAGAGGTTTTTCCACCAGTTTTCGTGGCAGCCTACGCCTTTGATACCGTGCACTAGGGAGGCAGAGACGGGCGTATTTCTGTGAGTTCGAGGCCAGAATGATCTACACAGTGAGTTCCAGGACAGCATGGCTAGGTGGAAAGACCCAGTCTCAAAAAAAAAAAAAAAAAAAAAAAAAAAGAGGAGGGGGGGTCCGCGACATCTCGGAAGCAATTAGTGATTAATGCAAATGCCTTGAATGCATGATGGAATGGGGGTTGAGCATTAATACAACCGGATTTTTCGAGACTACGACAGCAGCCACAGAAAGTTACACAGCTAACTTACTTGGGCCAGTTCCCCTGCGCACTAGCCTTATCTGACTTATTCGGCTCGCGCGGATAACACGCTCAAGAGGCGCGCCTGCCCAAGCCCTCTGCCCTAGGCGGCGGCTGGTCACCCAGGGTGGGCTCCCGCTTCTGGGCGGAGACTCCGGCCTGAGCCGGGCGGCAGCAGGGTCCCCGCGCAGCGCGGGCCGGGGCGACCCTGACGCCGGGGGGCCGGGCGGGGGAGTGGCCAGTCCGGACCGGAAAACTTTGTGCAAAGCGACGGGTGGGGTCCCCGGCCTCCGCGCAGGGCGCAGACACCCGGGCCCGGGCCCGGCCCGACTCCTTACCGTCCTGCAGGAGCTCCCGCACGGTCGCCGCCACGGCTGCGGACCCTGCAGCCCCACGGCCTGCCACGGGGACGGCACGGTCGCCACCTTCCATGTTGGCAAGGGCCGGGCTGATGACGTCCCGACGGCCCCGCCCTCCTGGTGACGCAGATTCCGGGCGCCTCCCGCCGGGCCCGCGCGGACCATCTGCTGGGTCCCAGGAGCTGCTGTCCCCGCGCGCGAGCCGAGAGAGGCCACCGGGGTCCCCGAGACGTCGCCGCCGCGCCTGCCTCCAGCGAGAGTACTGTCCGGAGAACGCGGGCCCCCGGCGTCGGAGGAGGCTCCCGGCCCTCCTCGCCCGGCACGTGGGAGCCGCCGCCCGCCCTGCCCCGCGCCCCGAGCTCCCTGAGCGCCGAGTCTGATCGCAGGCGGGACGTGCGGGAGAAGAGCGATTGCTAAACGCTGCCTTAAGCCCCTAGGAAATCCAAACGTGTAGATAGCCGCTGCTGCTTAGGTGAGCGGGTCTCGAACTACACGGCGTTTTGCATTTTCCAGATGTGTTTGACCTTGATGGCGACACGAATAGTATAGGGCTGATCGGTTGCCAGAGGCAGCGTGCCCAGATTCACGTTAGATTTCAGTACTCTGACTGTAAAAAACTAGTTATGATCATCAACTTGTGTATGATCGTCAACGACGAGTAGCATTATCCGAATTGCGTGGTGTTTTCCTTTCCTTACCTTTCTTTTTTTTTTTTTTTGCCAGCCCCAGAATTTTTTTTTTGTTTCCTTACCTTTCTTATGTTTTACTAAAGGATTTTAGTCGGCGCACATTAACGTGCAATAAAGTTGTAAACCTCCGTTGTGTCTACCAGCACGGATTTACAAACACACCTAAAAGAAATCCTAGGTGTGGAAGCGTACTTGTGCACAGTATTGTGCCTGGTGCTGTCCAGCTTAAGCAGACTGTTCTGGTACTTCCAAGCATGACTGCATGCTTTGGAGAACTTTAAAACAAAATGTTAGCACTTTTATCCCTTAAGTCCAGAGAGCCATTTAATTGATCTATGAGTGGCTTTTAAAGGATCAAAATAAAGTTTTAAATACTGTGTTTCCCCTGACTGATGAGTATTTTATGTTGCCTTAATTACTTATCTTTTCAGTATATATATTTTGTCAAAACTAGTGATGTTTCCTGAACTACATTGAGAGGTTTCTGTGCCATTTAGTGTGACAAGAATCAGTAAAAGCGAAATCATGATTGAGAAAGTCAGTAATGACGTCATTGCCACTTACCAACTCGTGGTGTTTACCGTTTCTGTGATTTTATGGCTCTTCCCCTTTGTAATAAACTTCTCTGACTGTTTTACTGTAACTCCATATTTACTTCTAGCACTGCAGAGCATCTCTGGTGCAGCTCATTTACACCCCCTGTCTCTTGAATATTGGTGTTTCCAAACATTTCTTGCAAGCTATGACATCCTTAACTTACTGGCCGTGTTTTCTTTAGCTTACTGCCAAAGGTTAAAAACTGAATTTTGAATAAGTAGCATTTTATAGAGATAGCTTTTACTGGCAATAGATAGATATCAGGGTAAAAAATATAAAACGAAACAAGCACTATGAAGTCAGAGTTTTAAGTACGACGTGGAATATAAACAATTTTATCGATTGTACTTGGAGTATAAAATTATTTATGATACACTTAATTGGTGATAGCTGAAATCTTCACTAGTAATAATGTTTAAATATTTTAAAATAATGAAGCTTTGTCTGCCTTCTGATTCACCAAAAATGAGAAATAAAAGTATCAAGATTTCTTGTTTTTTTAATTGTGTATGTGTATCTGTAGATGGGTATATGCATGTGAGTACTAGTGCCCTCAGAGGCCAGAGATGTTGGAGCCCCCTGAAGCTGGGGGTGGGGGAGATACAAGTAACTGTGATCCTCCCAACCTGGGTGCTGGGAACTGAACTCAGGGTCTCGGCAAGAAGAGAACGTGCTCTTAACCATTGCGCCATCTCTCCATCCCCAAAATAACTGGATTCATTTTGTAATACAAATGATCTGTTAATGCTGCCTACCTTTCAGATTTCTATCATTCACAGTACCATATGGGAGGTAATTAAGCCAGATTCCTTGATTCACCAAGAAAATAAAATGAATAAAACGGAAAGCAGTGTGATGTTGGACATGGAGGCATACCAGTATAATTGCAGTACCCCTGTGGCTTAGGCAAGACAATGGCCAGTTCAAAGCTAACCTGGGCTATATAGCAAAACTCTATCTCAAAAAATAAGCAAGAAACTAACAAGCAAAATCATAACATGATACACGCTAGAGGAAAAGCCTCTAGGTTTTCCATATCTTATCTCACTAAAACAACCATTTCAGTGGCCGAATTTATTGATCCTATAAGTAGAGGCCGAATTTGCAAGATCATCTGAGTCTGCAAGCCTCATAAAAATATTTGTGATTGAAATTGCTAGAATAAGCCGGGCGGTGGTGGCACAGCCTTTAATCCCAGCACTCGGGAGGCAGAGGCAGGCGGATCTCTGTGACTTCGAAGCCGGGCTGGACTGACAGCCTCCAAAACAATACAGAGAAACCCTGTCTCGTAAAACCAAAAAAGAAAGAAAGAAAGAAAGAAAGAAAGAAAGAAAGAAAGAAAGAAAGAAAGAAATTGCTAGAATAATAGTTTTTCCCCCTTTACTGAGAATTAAACCCAGAATCTGCCCAATGCTAAGCAAACATCCAAACCACACAACAGCTATTTGACAAGCTGAATGATAGGGTTTCATGTAGTAAAATACATATTCTCTTTACAAACTGTCTTTTTCAGATTTAAAACTGTTGTATACATGAGGAGTGACTCCATACCAATCACAATATGTCAAGAAAGAAAAAAAGACCCAATAGAAATGTTTCAATCTGGACAGCTGGTAAAAATCTGTGCCCCAATGGTTCGGTATTCAAAGTAAGTATTGTTAAATCATTAATGAGCCAATATTTGATTTTCCTTTTGGGGACCCTCCCAAGTACAGTGATAGTCACTCAGCTGCAAAGGCTTTCAAACTTTTAGCTTTGGACTCATGATTCGGAATTGAGTCCTGGTGCTAACACTTAACTGGTGTGTTTGTAACCATACATAGATAACTTCTCCAAGCATTCCCCCCCACCTCAAGTCTCATGCATCTCTGGCCTCCTAAAACTTGCTACTGGCTGAAGGCCTGATACTTCTGCCTTTATTTCCCAAGTACTAGGGTTGCAGATATATGCCCCCGTAACTATCTTAAATAATGCTGGAGGCAAACCAGGGCCTCCTGAATGCTAAGCAAGCACTGTAACAACTGCACTACATACTCAGCCTCATATGTATAAGAATGATAATGTATTAGGATACAGTAGATATTAAATGGATATAAATGTATACATGCAGGTTTTTATGTGAATATGCATCTTGGGACCAAACACAGTGGTAGAATTGTCAGACCTGGGGTGATTGGATGCTTAGATTTTGTTTTTTAAATGCTAAACTTCTCAAGAATGGAGATTACCGCTTCACACTTTGACCAAACACTTGTTACCATATAAATAGTTTCTTGTCCTCATCAACTTTTAATAATGACATATTTTACCATTTTATAGATCAGGCTCATGAGTCTTCAGGTGTGTCTCACGGGTCCTCACCAGCCCCCATGATGGGTATGGGGCCTAGGTCTATTGCTACGCAAACTAGAAAGCATTCTCCAGTGGCCAGGCCATCTGGAGGTAACCAGCCAATATCTAAAAGACCATGGGAGATTCAAACTCCTGGAATTGAGCTGAGGCCCAGGATGAGATATCAAATTCAGGCCCAGACAATTCCTGCACCTCCAGCCCCTGGTAACCATTGTTTTGTTTCCTTATGAGTTTGACTATTCTAGATGCCTGGTGTAGCTGAGACTTGTCTTTTTGAGAATAGCTTAGTTCACTTAACATTTTAAGAATATTTATGCCAAGATTCGTCCATACAATACCATATGCCAGCCTTTCCTTCCTCGTCTACAGGTAAATAGGTCGTCCATTAGTCATACTGCATTTGTTTCTCTTCATCGGTTGGTAGACATTTGGATTGCTTCCACCTTTGACAGTTTCGGGCGGTGAGATGTCAGGGCATCTTGGAAGAGTGCAATATAGGCTCCCCGCCCAACATCTCCTATCAGAGGCGCGTCTGTAGCATTCTGTGTTTCTGTTTCTTAAGTTTTCAGTCTTTCAAAGCTTCTCTTTCCCTGGTCCTTTATAAGGCTGAAGACTTGACCTTGGGCCCCTTTTGTCTTCACTCAGCTGATTCCAGGTGGCCAGCTTCTTCAGTCCCAAGTCTTGTGTATTTAAAGCAAAAAGAAAATTCACAGGACTTGCAGGGCTACTAGCCTGGCTCCCTTCCTCTCTCTTTTGTGATTTTCCTATCATTGTTCTATAAATAGTTTTGAGGTTTTAGCCCACATAGGAACAAGCAGACCACTGAGTTCCAGGGCAGCCTGAGGTATGCAGTGCGCAAGTACCAAGGATTTTGTTATACACAGCAGGTAAACTGGGTGAAAGTCTATGTCTTTCATCCAATAAAAAGTTTCTCTAATAAGTGCTTAATAATTGACTAAATTGGCTGGGCGGTGGTGGCGCACGCCTTTAATCCCAGCACTCAGGAGACAGAGGAAGGTGAATCTCTATGAGTTTGAGGCCAGCCTGGTCTACAGAGTGAGTTCCAGGATGGCCATGGCTATTACACAAAGAAACTGTGTCTCAAAAAGGCAATAAATAATAGCTAATTAAATTGAACTTGCAAATGCCTGTGTTTCAAGGGTTTTCTAAATTCATTATTAAAGTTTTATGTTTCACAGGTTGGCTTTTAGAACACTAGTAAGAAAATACTCCTGTGATCTGTGTTATACACCAATGATAGTTGCTGCTGATTTTGTCAGATCTGTAAAAGCCAGAGACAGTGAATTTACCACAAACCAAGGTATGTAAAACCCATAGTTTGCTGACTTTGTAAAATAAAAAAGTGTGTGTGTGTATATATACACACTCAACTATTTTGTATAACTAGATGAAACGTTCAGAGATTATGCTTTATAATCCATTAGTTTAAGTGCCTTTAGTATTTTAAAATCTCAATATGGGATGTCTTTTACACTGTCAGTAATATATCAAAATGTAAAGTCAGCCATTCTTAAGGTCACCTGTCTTGTTGCCTGTAGTCTTTTCTCATTCAGACTATCCTCTAAAGCCCAAGATACAAATTTGTGTAAGATACAAATTTGATCATGTCCCTTTCCTGCTCACAGGCTCACACAGTCCTTCTTATCATATCCATTGCTTAAAATAATGGCTTCAATATGGTTCCCAGGCCAGAGGTGACTTCATTGTTGGAAGTGAATGTTTCCAGACTCCACTCTGGGCCTTCTGTATTAGGAACTCTTTGTGTTTTTGAAATGCCATCTTGCTGACATTTGACAATCACCAGTCTAGAGGCTAGAATCAATCTCTATACCTCTCCCTCTCCCCGTCTTCCCCTCCCCCTCCCCCTCTCCCTCTCCATCTCTCTCTCTCCCTCTCCCTCTCCCTCTCTCTGTCTGTCTCTCTCACACATTCCCCCTCTGTGTGTGTGTGTCTCTCTCTGTGTCTCTCTCACACTCTCCCCCTCTCTCTCTCTCTGTCTCTCTCTCCTACCGTCTCTCCCCCCTCTCTCTTTCTCTCTGTCTCTCTCTGTCTCTCTCTGTCTCTCTCTCTCTCTCTCTCTCTCTCTCTCTCTCTCTCTCTCTCTCTCTCTCTCTCATCTCTTTCTTACACATACACACATGCCTGGCAAACTACAGTTCATGGTCCCTAATCCACCATTCAGAGTTTGTAACCAAGGAACCACCTTCCTTGATCACCGCACCCACATCCTCACTCGTAAGCACAGGCTCTGTTATTGTACTTAATCCTACTATTTTGTTTTCTTCCTATAGGCCCCTCTCTCCCCCTAAATTATAGGTTCATAGAAGGCATGAACTACAGGAAGAGCTTGATCTTTATATTCCGCAGCTAATGGTGTTGAAAATATATTAGATTAATAATGGTTATTAAAGTAGAATTCTGTAACTAAGGTAGCAACCGGGGAATGCACCCCACATGCCAATGAAGAATAAAAGAATGTTCATTCTCATCATTTCCCAAACCAAAGAGTTGCTGTAGAAATCTGTAGTCAGTGCAAAGGAGATAATGTTCCAAAATGTGCCTTTTATAAACATCTCTTCAATTTCAAAAAAGTGTTTGAAATGTTAAAATGCATCTTTCCAGAATTTTAAAAATATGTGAAAAATATGTTATTTAAGACCTAGAAAAGCTGATACATTTGGCTAGCCTAGATTTTAAACTCCATATAATTATAGAAATGTACTTTAAGACAAACAGAACTAAAAAGGTGTGTGTGTGTACATATAATAGACAAGTCGGATTTCTTTCTTTTGTAAGAAAAATTAAAAATCGAAACATAGCTAGGTATGATAGAAATGCCTCTGATCTCAGTACTTGGAACACAGGGCCAGGGACATCTCAGACTTTGGGGTTTGAAGCCAGCCTGGTCTGCACAGTGAATTCCAGGCCAGCCAGGACAACAGCATGAAACGCTGTCTTAAATAAGTAAGTAAGTGATAAAAGAAACAAGGAAAAATTAAAAATAGAAAACTGTGAAAAGTACAAATAAAGACACAAAGATTGTGTGTTCAGTGTGGGTAAGTTGAATGGAAATAAAAACACTTCATAATCTAATAATAGTATCTATGGCCGGTGTTGGTGGCGCACGCCTTTGATCCCTGCACTCAGGAGGCAGAAGCAGGCAGATCTCTGTGAGTTCAAGACCAGCCTGGTCTACAGAGTGAGTTCCAGGATAGCCTCCAAAGCCACAGAGAAACCTTGTCTTGAAATACCAAAAATAAATAAATAAATAATAGTATCTGTGTTAAATACATAGTCAGTGACAAATGCTTTCTCAACAGTTACACTTCCAGGTAATTATCTAGGAATAGACTTATAAAATGCAGTTTACACAACAGTGTGTAGACCGTCCATATAGAATATGTCACTAAATAGAAGCGAACACAGCTGAGTGCATTTCCTGGTGACGTAAAGAGCAGAAGGTGTGGCAGTATGTGTAGAATGCTCACACTCACTTGCATGTAATACGTACATAGATGCTATTGTTCTGGAATCGTTTTCATTTTATAAATTTGCTCACACTCACTTGCATGTAATAGGTATATAGATGCTATCGTTCTGGAATCGTTTTCATTTTATAAATTTGCTCACACTCACTTGCATGTAATAGGTACATAGATGCTATCGTTCTGGAATCGTTTTCATTTTATAAATTTGCTCACACTCACTTGTGTGTAATAGGTACAAAGATGCTATCGTTCTGGAATCGTTTTCATTTTATAAATTTTGCAGTGTTTCATTTGATTTTTTGGCTGTGTGCATGTTTCTTCTATGAAGTTTAATGTTGAGTTGTCTTTTTTTGTGTGTGAATGTTTCCTCTATGAAGTTTAATGTGGGACTTCCTTTTTTGTGTGTTTAATGTTGAACTGTCTTTTTTTTTAAACAGGTGATTGCCCATTGATTGTTCAGTTTGCTGCTAATGATGCAAGACTTTTATCTGATGCTGCTCAAATAGTCTGCCCCTATGCAAGTGGAATAGATATTAACTGTGGTTGCCCTCAGAGGTAAAGGTCAAAGAAATTAGGGGGAGAAATCTTTCCAGTTTTTGAAAAGTTAAGAAGGACAATTTGAGCTCCTTCCCCGGAACCTATGTGATGGAGGAGAGAACCAACTCCACAGAGTTGTCCTCTGACCCTATGTGCATACTATCCATACACACTAATAATAATTAATTAATGAAATTTTAAGAGGAAGTCTATCGAGTTAAAGCACTATGGTTCTAAACAAAAATTTTTTTAAAAAAGTTATTTAGGAACATGACTTCAAAGGTCTTTCATGATGCCCAAAATGATTTGTAGACTTGAAAAACCAAAAAAAAAAAAACAAAAGCAAATTACATGCTTTCAACATACAATGGCACAGCATACATTATCTTTTCAAGAGAGGAAAGGGAGCATAGTGAGGAAATACTGGACCAGAGCAGACTGGAATCCAGCAGGGCAAACTCCAGATTCTGTATTTCTGTGGCCATAGCAAAGGACGGAGATGGCTCACTTCCCACCTTTGCTGACTGCAGTGCTCTTCTCTCCGTGCCTGCTGCCCTCCCCGTGGCATCTCCATCCCAATCCAGACTTCATTTCCACAGCTTCACACAATGGCCTCGCGGGGCCTCCATGCAGGGACTCCCCTGCCATACTCCTGGCTTCAGAGGCTCTGCTTAACTACAGAGCAAGTCTCCACAATCCCCTTTCTCTCATATCCTCGATGCTGAAGTAAGAACCCCTGACCAAAGCTGCGAGTCCAGTAGCCTTGGCATGGCCCCTTCTTGAAGTACATTTGTATAATCTTTGAGCAGCAGTTTTTTGGGTACAGAAATTTTCTTAGGCCTTTTCCTTCCACAAGTTGCTGGATTAGCTGGGTGGAGTCTACCACAGAAAGTACTACTCCCTTTATTCCATCTAATATCCCTGCCCTCCGAATCTCCTTCAGCCCAAGCCTTGGCTCCAACATTAAATTTTCGGGCACTCTTTTTCTCTTTAAAGTGTGGATTGTATATTTCTTCCTGCCCTGCTTGTCCTTTGTTCTCTGGGGGTCTGCATAAGATTTATTCCTGGTGATTAAATTACTAATGATGAAAACCAGAGTGTCAATACTAGGTGGTCTTGAAATCTCTGCCAACAACATCAACCAAAGCCTCTTATTTTAGCCCCAGGCAGATTCTTAGGACACAGGTGAAAAGCAGCTGCATTCTGTGGCTTGCATGGCCTCAGCACTGCTGTGTTCCAGGCTGTTGCTCTGGTGGCCTGTTAGGCTCCACTTAGAGCATTCTGCCGCTTTTCCAAAGTCCCAGAGTCTCCTACATTTCTCCAAAGAACAGCATGATCAGGCCTTACACAACAGTACCCCACTTTTGGTACCAAGTTCTATATTACTTACTTTTCTATTTCTGTGACAAAACATCATGACAGAGGCAACATATAAAAGAGTTAGTTGGGGTTTGCGGACTTAGCAGGTGAGGAACGACCCTCCTGTTGAGGCGTGTGGCAGCAGGCGGAAAGGCTCGCTAGATCATCTAGCAGACAAAGGCACAAAGATGTACCTGGAAATGGAGTAGGCTTTTGAAACCTCAAAGCCCACCCTGGGTGACATGCCTTCTCCTCGTAAGTCTTCCCAAACAATTCCATTAACCGGGGACCAAGCATTCAAATATGAGCTTTTGGGGGGCATTCTCATTCAAACACCACTCAACATGTTTTCTTACACAACCCAGAATACCTATCTCCCCAGGAGTAGCATAGCCACAGTAGGGGCTATGCTATGATCACTAAACAAGAAAGTGTCCCACAGAGATGCCCACAGACCAATCTGATGGAGCCAATTCCTCAGTTGAGGTCCTAGATGACAAGTTTGTATAAAGCTGATAAAATAGTTTTAACCTCATCCGTAGCTAATTCTTTGAGAATCTAATGTCTACAGCAATCCCAGAAATGTGTTTCTACTGCCATGTCAGATACACTAAAAGCTGATTTTGTGTGATTTAAGCCATACCATTGGCATTGTCCTAATTAATTACCTTACTGTAGTCATTTTTCCTTTCTGGATCACAGCTACTTGATTGGACTGAAGTAACTGAGTTTGAATGGGATGTACTTAGTAAACTACTGTTCTGGCAATATGCTAGGTTATCTGCTAATAGCCAGAATATGCCCAAAGAATAAATCACAGTTTTAAATGTAGCATAAGCCAAATCAGATTAGACATTTGTATACTCATTAGGAGAATTAGATGTGCTATTTAGTAGTGTTGGAATGCTGTGAGTCAAAAATATCTCTCTACTCTTGAGACTTATAAAACTTCTTGTTATGCACAATAAACATTAAACTTGGAATTTTAAAAATTTGAAGTAATTGCAGTTAATGTGAACACATAATCTATTTAAGTTGGATAAATTCTAATTTAATACTCTCACTTAGCTAATGAAAAACCATTTCTAGTACTTTCTGGTCTAGGCAAGTATTTTCCTGATTTCGTGGACACATTTAGAAATGTTGATCTATGGGCTTTATTTAGTACTACAGTCTAGCTAAGCTAACTCGCCTGCTATAGATCCATGAACTGTAAATGTCTGCTTCCCTCCAGATCATCAGCTAGAGAAGAGACTGATGCCGTACATTTCGGTTTTATCCTTTGCTATACTTGTTCACAGTCTACCTGTTGTGTTTGTTTTATCAAGGTGGGCGATGGCAGAAGGCTATGGAGCTTGCTTAATAAACAAGCCAGAGCTTATTCGAGATATGGTGAAGCAAGTAAGAAATCAAGTGGAAAATCCTAGATTTTCAGTCTCAATTAAGATAAGGTAAACAGTATTTCAATCTACTGACAAGTTAATCTATTGCTTGGAAAGTTTAAAAATATTCCTTTTGTCTAGTGATGTCGTGGTGTATATCCTAAATAAAGTAGACACTGATGTGTCGAAATATTGAAAGATGTTTATCAAACAAACATAAACCCCATTCTTGAATTATAATTCTGAAACCATATTTCTTAACAAAATAATATATTCCTAATTAAAAGATCTCATTAACCCCTCAACTTTCCTAGGTACTATTTAGCTAATGATAAGAAATATTCCTGGCACCAACTAGAAAGCAGGAAAGATATTTGAATTAAGATTTAATAATAAAAAAATATTTAACAATTAAACCAAGATTCTAATTTGAGAGGCATGCACATCATGTATTAGGATAACCTCTTTGTGTTCCTCTGCGGCAGTATGCTGATGACTCTTAATTTCTCAGAGCTAATAAGGAAAAACAGTGAGGAAGAGAAAGACCTTTGTCACTGTATTGTTTCCATAGTCAAATAACTAAAGCCGAGGTCTCGACTGGGAATGATCACTCAACAAAACCTTATTAATAGTGACATGAAGTGATAATACAATATGCTGAAGCTAAGTAATGGAGTAGATGAAGTATCTTAGTTATTTTAGCATTAAAATCTGTGTGCTGTGAACAGCTATAATTTTGAAATTTTAGGATCCATGATGACCTTACAAGAACCATAGATCTTTGCCAGAAGGCTGAAGCAACAGGAGTGTCCTGGATTACAGTTCATGGAAGAACCATTGAAGAAAGACACCAACCAGTCCACTATGATGCCATTAAAATGATAAAGGAAAGTGTGTCTATACCCGTAGTTGCTAACGGAGACATAAGAAGCTTGAAAGAAGCAGAAAATGTGTGGCAGATGTCTGGGACAGATGGTAAGAAATAAAGACTGGAATTTTTATTATTTAGTAAGGATGGAAAGTGATGTTAATTTTATTTTATGTAGCACACCATCATATCTAGTGACCAGTAAAGTCATCTGCAGATGTGCTATTTATTGTTTTGTTACATTTTATCGTTAAAAAGAATCTAGAATACCAGAATAGAGGATGAGAGTTAATGAACTTGATCGGCCACAGGAGCCTTAGAACTGCCATGTAGGAGCCGGCCGTTGGTGGCACACGCCTCTAATCTCAGCACTGTGAGTTCCAGGCCAGCCTCCAAAACAATACAGAGAAACCCTGTCTCTGGAAAAGAAAAAAAAAAGAACTGCTGTGTAATTTCATTATCCCTTACATAATTAACAATAATTAACAAGCAGCCCTATGGTAACTGTTACTAGATGAAAGCAAGTCGATTCAACTTTAAGCAGCCCAATTTATTACAACATGGATGTCTCTCAAAGAAACAGTCAATTAATATAGATGTATTGTATAAATACAATTGGTTTATCAGTGGCACCGGAATCAACTTATTTCTTGTTGTATTTCATTAATTTGTTTTGATGAATACTCTTGCATTGCTTGAACTGATAACCATGGACTCTTAACTCATGAACAAATGTGTTGTGTTTTTCTTTGCAGGTGTGATGGTTGCAAGGGGCCTTTTAGCAAACCCGGCTATGTTTGCTGGATATGAAGAAACCCCACTGAAATGTATCTGGGACTGGGTTGATATTGCTCTTGAACTTGGGACTCCTTTTATGTGTTTCCATCAACATTTAATGTACATGATGGAAAAGATCACATCCAGGCAGGAAAAAAGAATATTTAACGCTCTGTCAAGCACATCAGCAGTCCTGGAGTACCTTACAGACAATTATGGTATTTGACTCGACTTTAAATCATTGTAGTATATACTTGATACCTACATGGAACCATATGAGGTTCCTGTTGTTCTTTTAAGTCTGTAGCTTTTAACTTCAGTACAACAGCAGTCAATGGGGCACATGTCTTTAAGCACTCGGAAAGCTGAAGGAAAAAGATTGAAAGTTCTAGGCCAATAAGACTCTGTCTCAAAGGGAGATTTTCCCTGATTTTAAAAACTCAGACCTGGGGCTGGAGAGATTGCTCACAGGCTGTTCTTCAAGAGTGCCTGGATCTGATGCCCAGCTCCCAAGTGGCTGCTCACTGCTGTCTGTAACTCCAGTGCCAGGGGATCCAACCCCTTCTTCAGGCTTCCTCAGGCACGATCCAGGCATGTAGTGCACACAGACATTCAGCTAAAACACATAGCTTTTTTACACACAAAATTTTAAGAAATAAAATCAGCTTCTATACCCCTTCCTCGTGGATTCCAGTTCAGTAAATCTTGAGTGGACCCAGAAGTTTAGTTTTAAAGAATCCAGGAGTTTCACACATCCTATAGTCCAATCAAATATTGGAAACTTTGTTCTGAATCTTTATGAATTGGGGGGAAGGGTGTGTGTGTCTGTGTGTGTGTGTGTGTGTGTGTGTGTGTGTGTGTGTGTGATTTTTACTAAAGACATTCTGTTTTTAACATTTTTAAATAAAACTTTTTTAATATCAAGAAGTTATTACTCATTTGTAAGTTAACAAGAACATTTTTATTTTTTGAAAGTTCAGGAAGTAGTAGAACAAATGTCTCCATCTATAAAAAAAATTAAAAAGAACAAGATGTTCTGTGTAGAATTATGTTCAGACCGTGCATTAAATTTTTAAATTGAAAAATCAACTGATACATTTCCTAATTGAATATATACCTCAAATATTTGCCATCTTCTCATGAGAACCTCAGAGGAATTAAGGATTCTTCTGACGGATAAACCAATACAAAGTTATATTCAGCGTTAGTCTTGTGAATGAACTGGCTGTGTCTTGCCGTAGATTCTTCCTGTAGCTTCTTCCTCTCGGTAACAAACTTGGGATTTACTTCCCACAGTTCAGCACCATCTGATCATTTACTGGGCACAATTTCTCCCGTGCATTTGGAGTTTACTGAGCCTGTTAATGGAGAACATTAATGGGAAACATTAACAGGTCCTAGCTTACTGATCACACTCCTTAGCTCTCTGTGAGGCCTGTTTCCCACTGTCAGGTCCTTGTTCCCCTCTCCATTGCAATCGCAGAGATCTGCCTTCCTGAAATTATCCTTATTGACAGGCATTTGGTCAGTGCTTTGGGCCTAGGCAAAAGCATCCCATCCGAGACATCCCCAGATAACCAAGGACATAGAATTACTACATGTCCAAAGCTGTTGATTCATAGCGCCTAGAAGGATAGAAAATGTCAGCATGCCCTATCTTTTTTTTTTTTTTTTTTTTTTTTTTTTTTTTACGAGACAGGGTTTCTCTGTTTTGTTTTGGAGGCTGTCGGTCCAGCGCGCCCTCGAACTCACAGAGATCCGCCTGCCTCTGCCTCCTGAGTGCTGGGATTAAAGGCATGCGCCACCACTGCACGGCAGCATGCCCTATCTTTACCTCACTGGCAGACAGAGAATAGCCTAAAGTAGCCCCACACTGAAAGGTTCTCAGACTTCTGTTTTATTACCTAAGATCCTAGCTCAGAGATTTACTGCTCCCTCCTGTTCCCCCTGAGAAGATAAAGACAAAGATAATCAGCCCATTTGCTCATCCTTGGGGAAGAGTAAACCTTCCTGAAGGCCTGTGCAGCCACTGAGGCCAGAGCACTGGAAGGTGACAGATTTGGTTCCTTGTGCAAATTAAACTTAGACCCTCCCTCTGACCCACAGCCCTAAGCAATTGATGCTGAAAGTTTCTTTGCAGTTTTAGTTTATTCAATTGTGTAAATCTTACTCCCCTTTCTGACCCTCGCATTGTGTTGTAAAAAGAATTACTGTTGCAAACATGTATATATACCTGCACCCCCAAGAAGGGTGGGGAAAGGGGAATGGGGGACAGAGAAACAGAAAGAGAACAGAGCAGAAGAAAGGGACATGCAGAGGAGCAATTAATTGTGTGTGAGTCAATTCCTTTTTCCCTTCATATTTTAGTTCCTTGGCTTATTTGTAGTTCCCCTTATTTATTTTCATCCCTGAGAGAACATTTTAAAAGCAAAGGCCTTCTAAAGATTTCGACAAATATCTAACTTGTGCCTAAATTAATTTAGTTACATGTGATATGGCTGTAATTTAAAACTAAGGTTAGGGCCAGCAAAAAGGCTCAGCGGATAACCGTGCTTGCCTTGGCCAAGCTTGACATCCTGAGTTCAGTCCAGGGACCCCACATGGTAGAAGAAGAGAACCATTTCCACAATGTCTTCAGACCTCCACACATTCACCCACGCACACAAATGAATAGATTAGATGGAGCTCTCCAAGTAAGAGCAAATTTCGTTGGTTTGAAGTGGTCTAGATTATTGTGTTACTAATGAGCTGGCCAGAGTCCTTTGTTCTACCCAGATAGGAATGGCAGGTGGGAAACCTTCCCAGCACTGGCTTTGGCGTTTTTTTTATCCCTCTGTCTTTGGCAGCAAGGTTGTGGTTCTCTTCGTGTTAGGGTTCTTACGCAGGCCTGAGGTATCTACCGTTAGTTAAGCCTAGGAAGCATGGATCCTCCAGCCTTTGGCAGCTGCTATTGTTACAGCGTTGGAGACCATGATTCTCGAGCCCAGGCTATTAAGGTTTCCCTGGCCTTGGAGAGTGGCCACCTAACAGCTCTCTGGACTCTGTCAGCGGTCAGGACCTGCAGTTTCAGACTGGTACTGCATTCTGTGCAACCTCACAGGCTCTTCACCGTCACTCTCCTGCTCCCACGGTTCTTGTATCGGGCTGCGTCCAGCTGTTCAGCCACCTCCTGTTACAGTGACTGCCGCCCAGGGGATAACACTGCTCCTCGTGCTGCTGTGGTTCTGTTGCTGGCCTTGCAGCCTGTGTTTCCTGAGGATATCACAGCGGCCCCCAGGCACTACTTCTGTAACTGTATGGTTTTGTTTCTAGTTTTTTCAGACAGGGTTTCTCTGTGGCTTTCGAGGCTGTCCTGGAACTCGCTCTTGTAGACCAGGCTGGTCTTGAACTCACAGAGATCCGCCTGCCTCTGCCTCTGCCTCCGGAGTGCTGGGATTAAAGGCGTGCGCCACCACTGCCCAGCTTACTTCTGCAACTGTACTGTCACCACAGCTGCCACTTACAAGCTCAACCCACTCACCATTAGCTGAAGTCGACAGAAGGAAGAGGAGCCCGGGAGATAGCTATGCTGGTAAACAGCCTACAGCACAAAGAAGAGGATGATGAGGGCTGGAGAGATGGCTCAGCGGTTAAGAGCACGGCCGCTCTTCCAAAGGTCCTGAGTTCATCTGCAGTGAGAACCCTGGCCTGCAAGCAGACTGCAGGCAGAACACTATGTATGCGTAATCAATAAATCTTTAGCCAGGCAGTAGTGGTGCATGCTTTTAATCCCAGCACTTGGGATCTCTGTGAGTTCAGGGCCAGCCTGGTCTACAGAGCGAATTCTAGGACAGCCAGGGCTGCACAGAGAAACCAGGTCTCGAAAACCAAAAAAGAAAAGAAAAGGGTTGATGAGATCCTAATGTGGTCTCCAGCATCCATATAAACTTGCAGGTGTGCAGGCTGGAGATGTGACTCAGCACTTGTTTTTGCTTTAGTTTCCCGGCGGCAGACGCAGGGCTCCACCTTAGAGCGTCTGAATGGATTCGAACCCAGTCCCGTCGCCGAGGTGCCTGCGTGGCCCCGCCTCCTCCGCGCCGCGTGCGCGCACCAGGAGTAGGACACGCGAGCGCCCGCGTGACCTCAGCCGGGCCGGCGCGCTCCCGGCGGCGTGGGGCGCGCGCGCGGGCGGCGGGTAAAGCCCGGACACTGGGCGCGCGCGGGGAAGAGCCTCGGGCCGCCGGCGCGCGCGCCTGGTCACGTGGGCGCGGCGAGCTCCCGTCAGGCCCCGCGCCGCGTGGGCCGTTCCCCCGGCTGGCGTGAAAGCGAGGCCCTCCCTGCCGTCCAGGCGTGGAGGAAGGAAGGCCATGACAATCCAGTGGGTGGCGGTCGCCAGCTTCCTCTATGCTGAGATAGGCCTCATTTTAATCTTCTGTCTGCCCTTTATCCCTCCTCAGAGGTAGGAACTCGGCCCCGCCGCCGCCCGTGGGGCTAGGGGCGCTGAGACGGGGCGGGCGGGGAGGCGGCTCTGCGGGCCGCCGCCGCCCGCACGCCGACACACCGGCACACCCGCCCGCCCGCACACCCGCCGACGGGAAGCGGGGAGCCAGGCACCTTGAGAGCCAGTTACGGGAGAAGCCCTCCTCCAGCTCGAGCTGCGGGCGCGCTCACACGTACCGACGTCACCCCCTCACTCCGCTTTAGCAGGAACGCCGCCCCTTGGGTCTGCTGCCCCGACCCGGAGCGGTGACATCCAGCACCGGGTGCACAGCCGGGACGCTGGGGCCGCGAAGCCCGGAAATGGTTCTTAGTTTTGGTCTTGGGGAGAAAAGAAACAGCTTCATTAATATTTTCATCCCAGCCGAAATCGAGGGATGCGTGTTAAAGTTGTCGAATATGGAAAGCATCAGAGCCGCATACGGGCATTGCTTCCTTAGTGAAGAACTTTCTTTAAAGTCGTGCACAGATTGACTTCCCCGCCCCCATTAGCTGCAGATCCAGGAACTTGCTGTCTTGAATGGGGAAACGTTGATGCTTTAAGCCAGATGGTGGTGGCGCACGCCTTTAGTCCCAGCACTCGGGAGGCAGAGGCAGGCTGATCTCTGTGAGTTCGAGGCCAGCCTGGTCTACAAAGATACACAGAGAAACCCTATCTCAAAAAACCAAAAAATGTTTTTAAAAAGGCTGATGTTTTAAGATATTTGTTACACTCCTGACATAGAAGGAAATCAGTCTTCTCCCCTTCAACTTGAAGTTATTGTTGATAATTCTTTTCAAAATTTACTAATAATTTGTCATACCTTAAAGTAAAAATATTAATTTGTGCTTGTGAGGTGTATTCACATACTAATTACCGTCACTGGTCTCCTTTTGACTCAATGTATTACTCATTTAAAATACTTATATACGAAGTTTGGCACCCTCCCAGTTGCAGGATGGATTACTTCAACATCATAGCTCATCGTTTTCTCGCCAATGTGGCTTTGCTTATCAATATGTCTACACTATTTCCTCATCGTATTTCTTCTGTTATTTTATCCTGGGTAATGGACAAGTTATATGGGTACTTACATTTGTAAATTTTTCATATGTATGTCACATCTCGGTCATTTTTTAATTTCCTTTTTGGTTAAAGAAATCCCTTTACGTAGAGGAAATGATAAAAGCATACCATATAAGAAACACACCTGCAGAAGCCAAATACAGCAATAATTGCTTGTAATTGCAGCACTTAGCAGGCTGAAGGGGGGAGGAGGGAGGGGTGGCAGTTCCATGTCAGCATGGGCTACATATCAAGACCCTGTCTCAGATCAGTAGAGAATTAGATGCTGCTAACGGTTAGATCAAGAGACAGCATCATTTCTGAGACATTCTCTACTAGGAAAAAAGAAATAGCTTCCATTAAAAAGATGACAGTTTTGTTTCTTTTGAGGCTGTTATTGGTAGAGTGCTGGGCATACAAGCTGGAGCGCCTGAGTCTGATCCCTAGATCCTGTGGGGAAAGCCAGGTACCCCCGTGTAGGCTTATGACCCCGTGCTGGGGAGGACAGGCAGGCAGACTGTCTAGTCAGCCTCGGAGTCCCAGGGAGAGACTGTCTAAAGCAAGCTGCAAGGGTCTTGCATAGGGACACCTCAGACTAACCCTACTCTTCAGGAAGGCTTGATGCACACAGACCATGCCCACATTCCTCTTTGAGGTTTTGCTCCAGTATGTTTAAAAGTTATTTTCTCTTTAGAATATTTAAACCATCAGATAAAAGATAATCAAATGTCATAGTATTTAATTAAAATAATTATTTTATATTTCATGAGCTATTCTGTCAGAGGAGTAATAACTTAAATTTTTCTCATTTTTGGCACACTATCAAAATATTATTTCAGAATTTACAAAACATTTCAAAAGCTGCTCTTGGTTGTTTGCTGTTATTTTTCATTTGTTTGTTTGTTTTTTACCTAATCTAATTTAATTGCTTTACAGATGGCAGAAGATTTTTTCATTTAGTATCTGGGCTAAAATTGCAAGTTTTTGGAACAAAGCTTTCCTTACCATTATAATCCTACTAATCGTTCTATTTTTAGGTAAGTACTAGATTCCTCCTTTGAATCCAGTTCTTTTTAAATAAATAATTTGGGTTCTGATGGTTTAAGTTGATGATATGATATTGATATATTGAAAGACAAATTATTTTCTATATTGATATTAGGGCAATTATAGCTATTTTGGTACATATTTGGTACTGTTTTATATACACTAATTTCAGGTGCAGTGCAGTGATTCTCTTTTAGGTTAGTTACTTTAAAGTTTACATGCAATAAGTGGCCTGCCTTCTTTCCAGCTGCCAGATAATTACCAGGTACAGTCTTTGTTATAGTATTGTCCTGGATACCCAGAGGCTTGGCCTGCGTGCAACAAAAGAATGAAATCTTAGGAAAGTGTGAATCTTCACTGAATCCTGATTAAAAACAACAGGTTTTGAGGCTGCTGTAGATTTTTTTAATACTAAATGGTTGTTAGGTAGTATTGGGATTTTGCTCTCAGTGTGATGGCAGTGGCTTAGAACCCTGTTGTTGTTAAGTATGGTTTTACTGAAGCATTGTCATTTTTGCTTCTGCATATGGTCTATGCCTGTTTCCACAGACAACTCCAGACTGTAGTATTGTAGCTTGTAAGACCTAAAAACATCCATTGCCTAACCCTTTGTCTAAAACATCTACTGTTTATCCCTTTGTTTAAAGAAAGTTATTAACAGTTTTTACATAGGAATATGTCCTTAATCTAAGAAGATGCATACTGATATATTTCGGGGAAGTATCAATGAACTTTGGACTGAAAAATATAGAGCAAATATGACAAATATGAATTTCACAGTTTGAGTCTGTGAAACCAGTTTGTGGGAGAATTATAGATGTGTACTGGACAGATTGAACATCCCTAACTGAAAATTATAAATCTAAAAATTTGAACTCAAAGAATCAGAAGCATTTTAGCACCAGCATGCTAACACAGGTGAAAAAGTCCACCCCTCACTCTGTGATAGATTATAGACCAAAACCAAGAGCAGTAAAGACATTATTTGAAATTAACTTCAGGCTTACATTCTATAAAGTATGTGTAAAATATAAATGGGTTTTATGTTTATATTTGGAAGAGTTGTTCTTTGCCTTTTTAGCTTTTTTGTTTTTTCAAGACAGGGTTTCTCTGTAGCTTTGGAGCTTGTCCTGGAACTCGCCCTGTAGACCAGGCTAGCCTCGAACTTAAAGAGATCTGCCTGCCCCTACCTCCCTAGTACTGGGGCAAAAGGTGTGCACCGCCACTGCCTGGCGCTTCTTTAGTTTTTAATATACAGTGCAAATGCATTTTCCCTAGGAACCTCCTCACAACTCTGATGTTGTGGGTTAAGTGCGTCCACTGGCACCAACTTGGAACCTTTACCACTGTGTTTGATGTTTTATGAAAAAATGTTTTATGTTCTAAACACCAACCTTTGAAATTGAGAGCATCTATTGTGAAGGGTATAGAATTGTTAAAAACAGGAGAGGAAGCCAGGCATGGTAGTGCACACCTTTAATCCCAGGGCTGAGGAAGCAGAAGTTGAGGCTGGCACATAGATCCCTGAGTTCCAGGACAGTCAGAGCTACATAGTGAGACGCTGTCTCAAAACAACAGAAACAGCAAACCATGACGGGAACTGTATCAAGTTTCGAATGGATTTGTCTCACATTCCTATAATATTAGGGCTAGTTAAAGCAGACAGATAAGACTTATCCCAACACGTTGGTGTCTTCATCTCAAATGGGCTGTCACCTTCTTTACCGAGAACTTATTCTCTTATTCCATTTTCAACATACTCTAGAAAATAAACCAAAATAAATGAAATAAATAGTATATTAGCATGTTGCAGAGAAAAGAATAATTCCAAGCATCAAATATATTTTATGTAATGAAATCTGAAGCTGCACTCACAAGCAATTTAAAAAAATTGTTAGCAATTTAAAAATTATTTTGTGGTCGGGAGGTGGTGGCGCACACCTTTGACCCTAGCACTCAGGAGGCAGAGGCAGGTGGATCTCTGTGAATTCAAGACCAGTGTGGTCTACAAGAGCTAATTCCAGGACAGCCTCCAAAGCCACAGAGAAACCCTGTGTCAAAAAAAAAAGAATTACTCTGTGTATATTGAAACACAGAGCAAATGAGCAAATATGCTTAATGGTATTAGAAATAAGGATTTTTTTCATTAAAAGAAATTTCATACAAATATAAGGTAATGAAATGAGCAAATGAGCCTCTTTTTAGAACAGTTTGTTGTGGACCTCTTGGAGTTTATGTTGGAATGATGGAAACGCAGCACTCTTTAGAGATAATGGCTGGGCACTGTTGTGAAGTGCACGCCTCAGTCTGCATCCCATTTCCAATTTCCACCAGTCTCTGCAAAGAGACTCCTCAGTTAGAGTGATGGTGGATGGAATCGGTGCTACACTTGAAGGGAAGTGGGGTTATATCTGCTACTGACAGCAGGTTGAAGTTTAGTCATGCATAGAGGTAGAGAGTAAGATAATATTTCACCTTAGATGGAGATTTGACAATAAGGTGATGATGAGTAAGCCCTAGAGGAATGATTTTAAAATGCTACAGTAGTGATCCACAAATTGCTACTACCATCCATCTTCAGGCACAGACCCTCTCAGGTACTAAAGAGGGGCACACAGAAAGAAAGCCATATCTACAGTCCATTATTATAAAGGTAATTATTCTGCACCTGCTTCTTGTGTGAAACACTGTACTAAAAACCAAAAGTAATGCTCTTGCTCCTGTAACAGATGCTGTGAGAGAAGTAAGGAAGTACTCCTGCACTCAAGTCACTGAGAAGAGCTCAGCCGACAGGCCTAGCGCCTATGAGCACATGCAGATGAAGCTCTTTAGGTCCCAAAGAAATCTCTACATTTCAGGATTCTCATTATTCTTTTGGCTGTAAGTAAGAAGCTGTATAAGCACAGTTTTAACACCCATAGAATTCTCTTTATGGTTTTTTTTCTCCACTTACACCTTAGTTTTCATTGTTGTTGACATCTTCATAAAAGATTGAAGAAGATATACTTAAGTAACAAATGATTTTGGACTGAAGAAGGCTGAAACGGAAGACAAGGTCTTCCCCTGGGAAGAGACCACCAATGGTTGTCCAGTGCCAAATATTCAGCCCTAAAAACACACATACAGGGACCATTATGTGGGCTGAGCAGGTTATATTTAGGAATATATATATATATATATAATAACAATTAGTAAAGAAAGAACAAAACCCTGAATTTAAAAGGAGTAAGTAGAGGAGCATGGGAGAGTTTGGAGGGAGGAATAGGAAGGGAGAAATGTTGTAAATAGAGAGGGAAAAGCTGCAGCTTGTAGATCTGCTGGTTACAAAGGGCCTTGAATGATTTGGCTGCTGACTTTCTGGAACCTTCTCATACTGTTCTCCAAGACACACGTAGTACATTCCATTCCCACTCTTCTTCACTGTTCATTCTTTGAAAAGAATGTTTGCTGCTGAGTTTATCAGATGTCTTTGTCCTTCCTACTTTGAGTCATCATCCAAGCTATTCTTCTCCTAGAACACTCTTCCCCCTTATCTTTGCTTGCCCGATTTTTGTAGTGGTTAAAGAAGAGTTTTTATCGGGTGGGGAAACAATGCAGCAAGCACATGGAGATACAGACTCTAAACTGAGGATGGCAGGCTGGGTGCCTTGGGAAGCAGAAGGACTGTTTCTTTTTGAGACAGGGTCTCATTATGTAGACCTGAGTGGCCTTGAACTCACAGAGATCTACTTACCTCTGCCTCTCAAGTGCTGGGATTAAAGGCAAACCTGACCATACCTGGCCTTCTCTCCTCTAACTTTTACTTATCCTTTAGCCTCTTTCTCAAAGAAACCCTGTGGCCACCATCTCTTCCAAAGTAGATTGGTCTTCTTTTGAAGTTCTTAGGCTATGTCTAGACTTCAACTTCTGGTACCTTTCACAATTATAATTACTGTTTATAGAAGCCCAGCATAGTTTTATACACCTTTAATCCCAGCACTTAGGTGACAGAGGCAGGCAGACCTCTATGAGTTCCAGGCCAGCCTCATCTAAGAAGCAAGTTCCAGGACAGCTAAAGCTGGTAACTAGAAAAACCCTGTCTCAAAAAAAATTATATAAAATATCTCCAACTAAAACTTAAACTTGAAAGAAAGAACTGAGCTCATTTTCAGCTGTGGCCCCAATGCCTAACATAGTAGTTCCTTAGTAAATACCTGCTGAAAAATAATTGAAAATATTAATTATAATATCTTAACAGTGGGGGCTACCTGTAAACATAACAATGTCCACTTTTTAGACTTAGCCACCCTTACAAAATTATCTTTAATCTGCAAATTTCAAACGAGAGAGAGAGAGAAAAGAGAGAGAGAGAGAGAGAGATTTTCTTAATAGTCCTACAATATCATCTCAAATTGCATTTTTCTTCTTTAGGATAAAGGCCTGTAAAAGACAAATAAATACCACTGTGTGCAGGAGGCCTGAGGTGCCGCCACGTCTGTGCTCTGATACTTGTCGTCCAGCAGAGGGTACAAAGGAGTGAGGCACAGCTTGGTTTAGCTGCCAGACTTGGATAGGAAAGAGGAAATGCTCTGCTGAAGCATCTTCTTCACCACCATTTCTCTAGACCTAGCAGGAGTCATTTGACAGTGGCTATTTGTGTTAAAGTCAGAGTTCCTGATGATCAATCTAGTCATGCGTTATTCTGAACTTCACTTTTTCCTCAGAGTTTTGAGACGTCTGGTTACACTTATTACTCAGCTGGCAAAGGAAATATCAAACAAAGGAGTGCTTAAAATTCAAGCAGAAAATACCAGTAAGGCTGCCAAGAAATTCCTGGAAGAGAATGAAAAACTAAAATGGGTATTTACATTTCTTTATAAATTGTTTAAATGTTGTTGGTGTGTACAAGGAGTAATGTACTGTTTTTTAGCATCAAAATTAGCATTTTCATAATTTAGCAGAAGAAAGTGCTACAAAGCATAGCATTGTTCTATGGAATGATCACATTTATTTATTTAGTAACTGACTGACTTTTTTAGAATTTCTGGGAAACCTTTTGTAGATGAGGTAGGCCTTGAACTGGAAGATCTGCCTGCCTCTGTCCCGAATGCCGGGATTAAAAGTGTGCACCCCCACTGCCCAGTTGTACTGCTCTTAGGGCTGCTTGCTCTCACACTCCCCTCAGTGCAGCTAACACCAGGGCTTGGTCTGTGGTTCCAGGAGGAAGCACTCTTGTAACAAATTCACACATGTATATAGTGCACTGTTTCCTCTCATCCCTTTTCCCTCTTCTCCCCTCCCACACGTCTCCTTTCCATGTTCGAATCTTTTTGTTTTCTTTTGTGGTGCAGAGGTTAGCTAAGGCCTTCCTTCTGTGACCATGGAGTTAGAACTATCCACTGTAGCTTGGTGGGCTCACCAATGGTCACACAACTTATGACAGTGACCTCTGTCTTCCAGAGACTCTCAGTAGTCAGTAGATCAGCAGGGAGGGGTAGGCACCATGACCATCCTCGACCAAAAAAAAAAAAAAAAAGAAAACAGCTTTCTTTTTTTTACGATTTATTTATTATATATACAGTGTTCTGTCTGCATGTTTGCCTGCAGGACAGAAGAGGGCACCAGATCTCATTACAGGTGGTTGTGAGCCACCATGTGGTTGCTGGGAATTGAACTCCGGTCCTCTGGAACAACAGTCAGTGCTCCTAACCTCTGAGCCATCTCTCCAGCCCCCCAAAACAGCTTTCTTGTTTTTACAAATGTATTACCATATATGCATGATGTGTGGAGACGGTATCCATGCCACAGTACATGTGTAGAAATTAGAGGACAACTGTGGGGAATTGGTTCTCCCTTCTGTCATCACATTAGTTGCAGGGGTTGGACTAAGGTCCCCAGGCTCACATAGACAAGGGCTTTTACCCACTGAGCCATCTCACCAACTTTCCTTCAGTTTTGAAAAAGCATTGGCCTACTGATGTCTTTTATACTTCCTCTCCCGGTAATATTGTTCTCTAGAAATCAAGGTGTAGTTATGAACTGCATTAAAAAGCTAGTACTAAGTACTTTTTGAATTTTTGCAGGAGAGATGTTTGTTTCAACAGCACAATCAATTTCATTTTGTACTTTAATATTTGCTTGATTTTTCTACCTTTTGATCTCATTTCACAATGGCAAAAATCAAAACCTTGCCAATATTGATTAAATTCAAAAGCCCTAGCTTTGTATTTATGAGAAGGCTTTCATGTATCTCTATTGCTTTGAAATTGTGCACATCATCTTAGAGTAGTGAATAGCTATTGTTATTAAAACAACCCTTTTAGTTGTTTTCTTCTTAATCTTGAGCTATAAGCAGACAATATTTTTATACTTTTGATGATACAACTTTTCCATATGCAGCAGAACCAATGGGGTTAATTTAGCCTATCCTTGTAAGCATCACTTCTTCCAGAGAACTTTGGAACTCTTCCTTTGGAATTATTTTCAAAGCCAGTCACTCAGGATAGGGAATTTATTTCCTGCTTGATGATTCCTGGGCCTCCCATAATTTCATTTTTTTTTGGTTCCCTGATTGCTGTATAGCTCTGACCCAATTCTAGATAATCAGATGTGCTATACTAAAGCTAGTATACAGTGAAAAGGAAATTTGTGAACTGGATAAATCCTGTCAGGACTCAGAGTATAACTCATAGACTTATGAAGTGATCAAAAATAGATAAGAATGTAAAAACAATACTTGTATTTCATGGTATTTCCTGTGGGCTTTGAAATATTAGTGAAAGAATGATAAAATTGCTTTAAAATACCTCCTTATTCTGTATATGAGGAATATTGTCTAGCAACAAGCAAACCTTCCTGAGCTTCATAGACTTTCAGTTGGTGCTAATTTCAGCACTGCAGTAACTGACAGTGTGACCTAGGGCAACTCTCCTCATAGGCTCTGAATTTCAAGGTTCTGTGACTATAAATAATAGTTAATGCTATGCCAAATGTCACTTCAGTTGTTCCCAGTAAGATATTAACTCTTAATTCTTGAACAATCCCATGAGGGTTTGTATTGTCTGCATTTCATAGCTGAGAAAACAGGGAGAGAAAGAATAATAGTAAAAATAAATGACACAGTCCAGGAAGTTTGAGGCTATGCAGCCTGACTTTAGCACCCACATTTACAACCGTGCATTTTGTCCCCTCAATTCCTGTAAAAATAAATGATACAGTCCAGGAAGTTTGAGGCTATACAGCCTGACTTTAGCACCCACATTTACAACCATACATTTTGTCCCCTAAATTCCTGTAATGTTCTGAAAAAAAAATGTCTATTGGGTGCCCAAGGACTATTTTCTCTTCTAATAATTCAGTTGAATAAATGAAAGTTAACTTTTGTTTTTCAAGGCAGATTCTCTTTAGTAGCCAAAGCTGGTCTTGAAATCACAACACTCAGGGTAGAAAGATGGTTCAGAGCTTAAGAGCACTTGCTGCCCTTCCACAGGACCCTGGATTCAGTTCCCAGCCCCTGTGTGCTAACAACTATCTGCAACTCTAGTTCCAAGGGATCTGATGCCCTCTGCTGGCCTCCATGGGCTCCAGGCACACATGGTACACAGACATACAATACATGCAGGCAAAACACACATACGCATAAAAATAAATACAACTTATAAAGAAAGGAAGAAGAAAGAAATGACAACCCTCCTGCCTCAGCTTGTTATCCAAATACTGGTAACATAGGTGTGTGCTCCCATGCCTTGCTACCCGCTAATTTTAGCTGACCGGCTCTCCTCCTCACTGGCCTTTCCCCTCTTCCTGGGCTGCGGTGAGACTGGGTGGGTCAGTGAAGACGTGTTCCTCCTGTAGCTGGGAGCTGCTGAGTTGCAGACTCCAGAACTCTTGGTCCTTCTCCAGCATGAAATTAGGAATAATAAATTGGAGCAGTTTTACAGGTGCAGTAATGAAAGCTTATTTACAAGACTGCCACAAATCCAGCCTTTCCAAGTCAGCATAAATAATTCAAGCAGTCACTAAACATTCCTTCAGCTCAGTGGTTGCTTTCCAGTTTTGGTAATCACCCCCAGTGCAGTAATCCTCTGCAATGAGCTTGAAGCTTTGAGATCTGCTCTGACATTACAAATGAAGCTCTTCTTTTCTAGGCTAAAATTGTATTGAACTTGAAGTAAACAACAAATTAAAAGAGGCTTAGAGAAATTCTCATCCTGCTATTTTAGAGGCAAGTGTTTTGATTGTGTGCTCCAAGCCCCTGATTTCTTACGAGCTTGGTAAAGCGCAGGGTGTGCCCACTGGCACTTTAATGGCGCCTCTGAGCCACCTGCTCGTGTCCTACTCCAGCGCTCCAGCACGGAGTGCCTGCCTCACTCGTTCTCAGTCTAGCCCTCTGCTCCTGCCTTTGCCCCCCTCCAGGTGAGAGCTACCAAAGAGCATAGACCATGTCTCTCTTACTTCTTACCTCTTACGGTGTCTTTCATGCTAAAATGTCTGCATCTACTCAATGCTCACTAGAGTTTGTGAATTTTTGTGTGTGATGTAGAAATTCTTAAATCACCATGTTTTCCTAACCATGGAAGCCATCCAAATTAAGCTTCTGCCACCATATTTAGTCTACTAGCCCATGCCTGTGAATGCATAAATTTATTTTCTATCTATTTTGTTATGTGTGTGTTGAGGAGAGGGATACTAGTCCATGTGCACGTGTGTGCACATGAGCATAGAGACCAGAGGTCGACCTCAGATGTCATTCTTCAGGTCCTGTTCACTTTGTCTTTTGAGACAAGGTCTCTGATTGGCCTGGAAGCTCCTGGAGTAGGCTAGGCTGATTGGCCAAGAAGCCTTGGGATCCCTCCCATCTCCCCATGTTAGGATTGTAGTAGGCAGGCTACATGCCTGGTTATTTATGTAGGTTCTGGGATGAAACTCAGTGTGATAACCACTTTATTGACTGAGCTATATCATCTTCATTTTCAAAACAGTTTAACATATAATTTATCTTTCTTTACAATTTGAGTATTTTATATTTCTTTTAATCTGCTTCTAGTTTCTAGTAACAGTGATGATTTCTATGTAAGCATGCAAGTTAGGAAATTTTTGTTCTACAATGTTTGTCACTTATTTTACTGTTCAGGTCTTTATTGTTTTACCTACAAAAGACAAGCTGCAAACATTATTGGATCCAAAATTGATTTTGAAATATAAAGAGCAATTTAAATGATAAGTAATTTTAAAATTAATTTGGTAATGCTTACGGAAAACCAGAGCTTTCCTGCCCTAGAGATCCCTGCCGCATTCCACTTTTCCGTCTTCGTCCTGGCAACATTATACTCTTCTACAAGTATGTGTAAAAGGAATCCTGAGTAGACAAGACATGATGATTTATTTGTTTGCACAACTGATATCAAACCCAGAGCTGATTTTTTTACATTAAATGTATAGCACACCCTTAACTGAGGAAGGCAGTCACAATGAATTAATTTTGAAAGCATAATTATAATTATATCCCAATCAGAAATTCTTACTTTCATTTCAGAAACACCATCCATCATAATAACAAGTCAATTTAAAGAGTATTTTTAAGTTGTGTGTTCATGTGTGTCTCTGAGTGTGGTTATATGCATGTGAATATATTTGCCCACAGGAGTCAGAGGCATTGGACTTCCCTGGAGCTAGATCTATAGGTGGTGGTTGTTCCAGCTTCCAAATCATGACGCAGAGACTTACTAGTTTTGAATGCTCACCTTCACATAAGCTGGCTTCTAGCTAATTCTTATAACTTAAATTGACTGTTTCTCTTTATCGACCTTTTGCCTCGAGGCTTTTTACTTTTCTTCTCTGTATCTTACTTTCACTGTTTCTTATCGCCTGGCTGGCCCCACATGGACATCTCCATCATTCCCTCCTCCTCTTCTCATTCCTCTTCTCTCTTGAATCTAGATTTTTCCTCCTATTTATTCTCTCTGACCCCCAGCACTGCCTATCCTTTCTCTGCCTTGCTATTGGCTATTCATCTCTTTATTAAACCAATCAGGTGCCTTAGGCAGGCAAGGTGAGAAAGATGCAACACATCTTTACATAATTAATTACACATCCACACATCACTAAACAAAGGCAGCATAAACAAATGTAACACATCTTTGCCCAGTTAAAATAATATTCCACAACAGGTTGTGAGCTGTCTGACATGGGTGCTGGAAACCAAACACAGATCCTCTCTCCCCAGCTCCACAAAATCAATTTTGTGTGTTTGCTTACAATCAGGTTTCTATTAGCAATAGCACTTTATAAGAAAGTTATTAAATACTTAAAAAGACAAATTAATAAAGACCAATAATTTTAATTTAGTTAAAAAATCCAACTGTTGCAATCTAAGCTTATTTCTTCCCATAATTCTTTTATAATAGGTGCTAAAAAACCATAGCAAGGATGAAGAGCACACTTTGGAGACTGAGAATAAAAGACTAGTAGAAGACCAGGAAAAGCTGAAAACTGAACTGAAGAATGCCTCCGATGGTAATCTGTGTGCTTGTGGAAAGGGGAAGGACTAGCAGACATTTTATGCTGTCTCATAAGCCTCACTGTTTTACCTTAAACAAAACTAATGGCTAAATGCCCTCTGACCAAGACTGATAATGACCTCCTTATTAATTTCTGTTCAAATATGAGATTAAAACACTGTGCCAAGAGAAACATGTTCTGTTATGCAGAAAAACATTTAGGTGTTTCAGATCTGTGTTGTAAATACAAATGTCTTTACCTCAGCAAAAGAGCTATGGGCTTGAAAACTGTCTTGTAACCTATTACTGTAAAATGAGTCACATTTTTGTCATCATATTTTTCTTCTTTTATAGAAGTAATCACAGGGAGACAGCCTGGACAGAATAATACATGTCTGTCTTAAGCCCTAATATTTCCAACACACTAAAATTTAAATTAAAAAAATTTTTTGAAAAGACAAAGTCTTTTTTAGATATTAGCTGAGAAATTGAGACTTTTTGCCAAAGTACATTGCATTGTAGATTCCAAGTGGGGCATCCTAAATCTAAGTCCATGAAAGCAACTGCTTCTGCACTTAAAAAGTTCTGGTTGTTTTTACTATGTGCTTGCTACATAATTTAGTAAAGTACATATGCCAAAATCATTGTCATTCTAAGAAATCTTTGATTATGTGTAGCTTTACCCGTGGCAATGTATCTGTATGTGGGAACATAGTGCATGATGTTGACCAGACACAGGGAAACCTATTAGGAGTTCACCGTGAAGACTGCTGGGTTAGGGTGATGGTGTACTGGTCTTCCACAACTTCACATGTCTCTACTTTGGTTGAAGGTAAATAGGATTCAGTGACTAAAACAAAGATCTACTTGGAATCATTATGAGTTTAGGTTTAAGTTGCTCTCAGCATATATAGACGTTCTCTGAAATATAACTTGCTATTATTAAATATCTCTTTACATTACTTTGATGGGATTTACTTCATGAAGGTATGTTTGAATTTTAAATTGAAATTCCAAAGGTAAAAGCTAATTCTATAAACAAAAACCCAGATTAGGACATTTCATGTGATAAAAAATTCCTTAGTCACTTTACCTTTTGTACTTATTTTTTATGTGCATGGGTGTTTTGCCTGCATGTATGTTCAGGGCCAGAACAGAGGGCATCAGATCCTCTGGAAATGGAGTTACAGACAGTTATAAGCTGCCATGTGGGTGCTGGGAACTGAACCCAGGTCCTCTGGAAGAGCAACTAATGTAAATATAAATGGTAAAGTAAAAACAGCAAGCAAAGTAAAAACAGCAAAGTAGAATTAGGGAATTAAAAATTCAAAGTACCCTTCAGGTTGTTTGGTCTAGCCACAAATTCAAACATCTCATTATAGTTTATATTGTTGTATTTACTGATTTACTGTAATTCCAAAAGATTTAGGTATAGTCAAGAAATTTTAACACTTATATAAAAATTAATTTAGTAATTTATTAGTCTTCCTATTCTCTGCAATGGTGATTTTATCTTTTTTTTTTCTTTCTTTCTTTCTTGGTTTTTCGAGACAGGGTTTCTCTGCAGCTTTGGAGCCTGTCCTGGAACTCGCTCTATAGACCAGGATGACCTTGAACTCGCAAAGATCTGCCTGCCTCTGCCCCCCCCAAGTGCTGGGATCAAGGGCTTGAGTCACCACTGCCCAGCTTATCTTTTTATTTTAATTTTACAAAATCTTTTTTATATATGATGAGAATCTCTTTTATGTTTGAGTATGTAATATCAGATTTAAGAAAAGAAATCAGGGATGTAGTTGAGTTAATGTAGGGTTTGCCTAATATGCACAACTCTGTATTCACTCTCTGACTTCTAGACCAGTCATGGTGATCACTCAGAACTCAGGACACTGGTGTAAAGGTGATCAGAAGTTCAAGGTCATTTTAACCCACACAATGGACTTTAGACCAGCCTTGGCAGCATAAAACCGTCTCAAACAATTATTTTTTTAAATAAAGTACTTGTCTAGCAAGGAGGAGGACCCGCAGCTGGGCATGGTGGAACACACCTTAAGTCCCAGCACTGTGGAGGCAAAGGCAGGTGCATCTCTGTGAGTTTGAGGCCAGCCTGCTCTACAGAGTGAGTTCCAGGATAGACAGAGCTAAATGTGAGATTCTGTCTTGAAAACAAACAAGGATGAGACCTGAGTTCAGTCCCCAGCAGCCATGTAAAAGCCAGTATATTGACAATCAACTGTAGTCACAGCTCTAGGAAAACGAAGACAGGAGGCTCTCTGGGACTTGCTGACCAGCTAGGCTAGTGTGATCACTAAACACCAGGTTCAGGGAAGAGAAAATACCCCTTGTTAACCTCTTGGCTTCCATGTGCACACACCTACTCTTGCACATACCGATAAGTAAGTAAATAAATGTAAAAAACAAACCAAAAGAAGAAAATATGGCAAGATGGCTCAGCAGTAAAAGTATTTGCTGTCACCGCTGATTGCCAGAGATAGCTCCCCAAGCCCGCAAGGTAACAGGCGAGAACGAGTTTCACCAAGTTGTCCTGTGGCCTCCACATCTGTGCTTTATGTGTGCTTTCTCCCCCACCCACATTAAATAAAACCAATAAATGTAGTATTTGCAAAGGCAAGAATAGATGTATTCTTATTTCTTTCCAGTCAATTTAGTTTCTCCTCTTTGCCTTTCAAAATTTACAATTCTGAGATATTTTTAACTTCAATTTCTTTATCCTCACATAAAACCAAACTTATTACTTCAGTATTTACTTAACAGAAAACTTGGGTGTTTGGAGAAAATGAACTCTTTAATAAGATAGGCAATGTGTTTACAATCTGATAACAAGACATGCCAGTCCTGCCTGTGTTTGAAATGTAGACTGACTACTTTCTAAGGGAGTCAGGGCTGAAGTCAAAGCAGACTTCACCTGTTTGAATGTGAGCTGTTTGGTTCCTTCAAGAGGTGCAATATTTTATGAACACATTCCATTTACCTGGAGTCCCTTTTTAGGGAGCATTCTTAATGACCTTGAGAAACTCAGAAGTTCTGTTTCCAGAAATGTTTCTTTTGCTGTTTTCTTGACTTATACCAGACAAATTCATGCAGGTAATACTAAAAAATTGTATCAGTTGATAGAGTAAATTTTGTATGATTTTAACAATGCTTGACATGCAGATTCATCAAGTGTTCCTTTATTTCTAGAAATTGAGGATATTGGGATGACATTGCTTAAGAACTTTTTACAGTGATCTTTTAGATGTAAAACCCAAATAAAAGCAATGTCATTTTTATTTTATAGTATGTTTTCCAAAGAAATTTTCTTAACTATTGTGCTTCTGTGATCCACCTTAAGGATTGTCTCCAAAAAAATTTTTTTTTTTTTGGTTTTTCGAGACAGGGTTTCTCTGTATTGTTTTGGAGGCTATCGGTCCAGTCCAGCCTCGAACTCACAGAGATCCGCCTGCCTCTGCCTCCCGAGTGCTGGGATTAAAGGCGTGCCCCACCACCACCCGGCTAAGGATTTTCTCCAAATTTTATTAGTGAAAAAAAGTATTAAATATAAAGGTTTACTTACACTAATATTAGCACCAGATTGGAAAAGTGTCATTCTATAGGCAGTTTTTTAAAACATTCTGCCAGGGGCTGGAGAGATGGCTCAGCAGGTTCCCAGCACCTACACGGTGGTTCACAGTTGTGTGTAATTCCAATTGCTAGGGATCCAATGCTACTTCCTAATATCTATGTGCTTCTGCATGCATGTAGCATATTTGCATACACTGAGGCACACACATAAAATATTGTTTTAAGGAACACTCCAAGAGTAGCAGTAAATATTCCACCAATTATTAGTTCCTGGCTCAGATGTTGACCAGCAACTTCTGTGTTTCTATACAGTAATATACTAGAGAGCATTTATACCCCAAAGTACCTAATCTGTGCTCAAGACTACCTAGTCAGGTACAAGGATTTAATCTGTCACTTTAATAATCCATTTAACAGTAAGTCAAGCCTGATATCCCAGTGTGTTGAGTAATATTAGAAATAGAGCTATGTTGTAGAAAACCTGCAATTCAAAAGATTGACTTAGACCCTTTAAGGATAATTAGAAGTACTTATGCCTACAACTAAATCCTCCCTAGTTTCTCTTTATAGCTAGAGGAAACATGCACCACTCAATGGTAAAAATAAATGCGATTTAACAAGGGATTAACCTGCTTGTCACAATACAAGAATTCTGTGACAAGAATGATTTAATATCTTGGGGTTCTTCTTGTTGTAATTTCTACCGAGGTAGAAATGTTTACTAAAGACCTGCATGGTAAATGTTTTTATAATGAATACATCACCTTATAAAAGCCTTTTTTTATTGCAAAGGGAATTACCGAAATTAAGCTGGACAACCCATCTGAAAACACTTTTTAAAAATACACCAAACCATTAATACGTAGTAATTAACAATTTAAATTATTTTCTACAATGAGAAGTTAAAAGCCTTATGGGTAGCTTTTGTTGTTGTCGTTTTTGTTTGCTTATTTGTTTTTATTCTTTTTTAAAGACCCTGGTAAGATAGCCATTCTTTGCTTGAAATATCTGACCAATTGACTCTATTCCTAACTTTAACTAGAAAGATTTTTTACTATTAGACGTTGTTTAACCTTGGAAATGTGTGAGAAAGCACAGAGTAATCTTGTTAAATCTTTTTAGGCTACTATTTTCTGTCCCATAAAATTAGGTAATCAGATTAATCTGTAATGTCTGTTATGTTATGTGGCTTCAAATACGAATAATTTTGTCATGAGAGAAAGCTTCACGGTGACTTCTATTTCTCTAAAACTTAAATTCAACAGGTAGTTAATTAGATAGTATTTGTGACTTCAGAAAGATGTTTCATGCAATCATTAGGCAGGACCTGGCATGTTTGATCCATCTCTTAGCTCTTAAATGTTGAACTCTCTTGGGTGGAGCATTTGGAGGAAGAAGAGGATATGTGCCAGTAAACAAAATGACCTTATTTCTGTA